CTTGTGATTTAATACAAATTTCCCATGAGCTGCCTCACATGATCATTATCCAAATGATGTAATCAGTGGTGTGTTTGTTGGGATTGAGGAATTTCCACTTTATGACCAGATTGTTCATTGAAATAAATTGAATCTTTTGAATTTTCCTTGTTGTATAATTGAATAGCTTTGTATGCTCTCCAATCTAGTTGTTTTCTTTGGCCAAGTTTGATGGGTAGTTCTTCAGAGGAAGTTGTGCGGTGTAGTGAGTTCTAATCTTGCGGTGATCTATATCCCAGTGACAGAAAGGTACAAGACACATATTGAATTGTTGCCACTAAGGATAAAATGATGGTTTCTTTATCACACTTGGATGATTTACTGTCTACATTATGTCATCTTGCTTAATTGCAATGCTCTATTTGTTATGAACATAATACTTTGATATGCATGTTGGATAGTGGTCCTGGGTAGAGTATTAGTTGTAGGTGAAGTTGGATAGCGGTTTACATATGACACACATAATGCCTATATGAGATTATACCATGAATGATCATAGCCATAAATATAAAAATTGCAATTTAATCGCTGCCTAACTGTAATTTGTCCACCACCCTACACTGTTATGTTTGGAGAGATGCCACAAGTGAACCTATGGCCCTCAGATCTATCTTCTTATGCTGAAAGCTCTGTCGAAATATTAATTCTTTGTTGTACTGTTTCTTTTCTTTTATCTACCTATCAATTATCATATGTTGCAATTTAATGATGTAACTAGCAAGACAAGAAGCTTGACAACCTTCTTGACGTCTTGGGGTGAAGTTTGTTTTGTGTGCAGGTGCCAGTGATTTTGTTTGCCAGAAGAACTCCTTCGGGTTCGATAAACCTTGGTTCTCTACTAAGGAAAATACATATTGCTAGGTTACTTCACCCTTACACTTGGGGGTTAGCTAGCCACTCTTACGAGAGAGCAAGCAAGATTTTTGGCGCCGTTGCCAGGGAGTTTCTCAGAGTGCATCCACGTCAACGTTCAACTTGGCGTCTCACGTCTCGGGCTACAACTGAAGGAAATATGCCCTAGAGGCAATAATAAAGTTATTATTTATATTTCCTTATATCATGATAAGTGTTTATTATTCATGCTAGAATTGTATTAACCGGAAACTTAGTACATGTGTGAATACATAGACAAACCGAGTGTCACTAGTATGCCTCTACTTGACTAGCTCGTTAATCAAAGATGCTTAAGTTTCCTAGCCATGGACAAAGAGTTGTCATTTGATTAATGGGATCACATCATTAGAGAATGATGTGATTGACTTGACCCATCCGTTAGCTTAGCACAATGATTGTTTAGTTTGTTGCTATTGCTTTCTTCATAAACTTTTACATGTTCCTATGACTATGAGATTATGCAACTCCCAAATACCGGAGTAACACTTAGTGTGCTATCAAACGTCACAACGTAACTGGGTGACTATAAAGATGCTCTACAGGTGTCTCCGATGGTGTTTGTTGAGTTGGCATAGATCGAGATTAGGATTTGCCACTCCGTGTATCAGAGAGGTATCTCTGGGCCCTCTCAGTAATGCACATCACTATAAGCCTTGCAAGCAATGTGACTAATGAGTTAGTTACGGGATGTAGCATTATAGAACGAGTAAAGAGACTTGCCAGTAACGAGATTGAACTAGGTATTGAGATACCGACGATCGAATCTTGGGCAAGTAACATACCGATGACAAAGGGAACAACGTATGTTGTTATGCGGTTTGACCGATAAAGATCTTCGTAGAATATGTAGGAGCCAATATGAGCATCCGGGTTCCGCTATTGGTTATTGACTGGAGATAAGTCTCGGTCATGTCTACATAGTTCTCGAACCCGTAGGGTCCGCACGCTTAACGTTCGATGACGATCGGTATTATGAGTTTATGTGTTCTGATGTACCGAAGGTTGTTCGGAGTCTAAATGGTCGAGACATAAAGATTAATATATTGGAAGGTTATAGTCGGACACCGGAAAGGTTCCAGGGGTCATCGGATAAATACCGGAGTACCGAGGAGTTACCGGAACCCCCTGGGGGTCAATGGGCCTTCATGGGCCTTAGTGGAAATAGAGGGCAGCAAGGGAGCTGTGGGGCGCGCCCCCTAGGCCCAAACCGAATTGGTTTAGGGCTTTGGGGGCCGGCCCCCTCTTTACTTCTCCCCTCCTATTTCCTTCCTCTCATAGTTGGACTAGAAAAGGGGGAACCTACTCCTAGTAGGAGTAGGATTCCCCCCTTGGGGCGCACCCCACCTCGGGTCATATCGTTGCAGTGCTTAGGCGAAGCCCTGTTTCAGTAGCTTCATCATCACCGTCATCATGCCGTCGTGCTGACGAAACTCTCCTTTGACACTCTGCTGGATCTAGAGTTCGCGGGACGTCACCGAGCTGAACGTCTGCAGATCGCGGAGGTGCCGTACCTTCGGTGCTAGGATCGGTCGGATCATGAAGACGTACGACTACATCAACCGCGTTGTCATAACGCTTCGCTTACGGTCTACGAGGGTACGTGGACAACACTCTTCCCCTCTCGTTACTATGCATCACCATGACAGATCTTGCGTGTGCGTAGGAATTTTTTAAAAATTACTGTGTTCCCCAACAACAACACCATTAGTTTATCGATCTCCATAGACCACAGGGGTGTTAGGACGCATCTTCTGGCGCATTTCATTGATGGAGTGGTTCACTTGTCGATGAATTCCCTGAACGATGGCTCCATGTCTTCGATTGGCCTGCAAATCAAACGGACACACAAATTTTCAACAAAAGTGGGCTAGTGCTAGGGAATGGCAGTGGGGTGGTTTATGATACCAGAAGTTATGGTACCTGATATATTATCTCTCTCTCTCACACACACATAAACTAATATGGTTCAAATCATTACATGGCAAGCGAAAGAGAAGGAAAAACACAAAAAGCTTAAAGGTAAGCCGGTAGGTAGCCAATCGCAGTGATCCACCGGATGCCTCCTATATGTTTGTGCTAGGGCCAAGTACTGGTTGCAGATGAGCTCGACGTAGTGCATATCCATTCGGGTTCTCTATACATGGGGTTTGGTTTGTGTGTGCATACAAGATAATGTATTGGTGTCGAAATGTCTTTGTCACCATTAGTTGGGCAACACATGTCAGAGACGCGACACAAGAATGTGACAAAAAAATTAGGATGTTGCTCAAATCAATAACTCCAAGAGTTCAAGCTATCACTCTTGAACCAAGCACATTGATGTGAGCTATCATTGGATTCGAGATGTTGTGAATTCCAAGTTGCTCAAACTCGAGAAGATCCATACCGATGATAATGACAAAAAAATTTAGGGTGTTTCTCAAATCAATAACTCTAATTTGCCTAAAGTATTTTGGCTAGATTTTTTTTCATCCAAAGGTTTAACATTGAGTGTTGGGTTGCTTATCACTGCTATGCAACGGCGGAGACAGCCCCAGGCAACTCGGATCGCACTGCCCGTGGTTTGAAGGTTGATTCCTTCGTTTAGCATCATTGTAACTACAATGCTACACTGTAGCTACGGTCCTCGAAGGTGGTCTGGGACGGACGAGGGCGTGGTGCAATCCTGGCGCCGCCACTGCTGCTTTGTATATGTGGTTCATGATAAAGACTAAATAAATACTCCCTTCGTTCGGAAATATTTGTTGCAGAGATGCATAAAAATGGATGTATCTAGAACTAAAATACATCTAGATACATTCATTCCTCCGACAAGTATTTCCGGACGGAGGGAGTAGTACATAAGATGTGTGCAATCCAGTCAAACTTGTTCAGTACATTCAAGCTCTAATCATCACACTCAAATTAAGCTCCAACCAAAGACACATTAATTATCCGCAAAGATTAAATGAACATTTAAGTGCTCGGTTGTAAAGGAGTACTCGCACGCTCTATGCTCCCATTCGGAGTGAGTAGTTTCTATCAACGGTGACAACACTTTCCGTTCAAAAAAAACGATGACTATACTTTGCTAAATCTACGACAAACAATACACCAAAATCCAAGCCAAGATTGTGACAGAAACAATAATTTCCAGAAACAAAGGCGACAAAATAATGGCACGAAAGAAAACCAGAAACATAAAGCAGAGCGGGGTGAGGTGTACACGCAATAATAGAAGGGGACGGAAGCAGGGCGTTGACCGGGCACGGGCGGGGGTCTCCCCTCCCCGATTCCCGCCACGTCACCCACCCCGCCGATCGTTCTCATCCACTCCCCTCACCTCACCTCTCTCTCTCCACCTTTCCTCTCTCCTTCCCCACCCCACCCCCACCCTACCCCCTCTCTCCGCCCCCAATCCCGATCTCCCTCCCCC